TAATCGTTATGAACCTGGTGAAGTTGTTCTGGGTGTTTTAGATCAGCTTCAAAGACGTATCCGTAATCGCTATTACTGATACAATCGTGTAGGTGTTTGTGTACGTCAATGTGTGTCGGGACACTACAGTGAAATCTATCGACAGATAATGGTTTCATAATTGCCTCTTCATATTGATGTCACGATACATGATTTAGCTGTTAAGTACAGCAGGATCACATACCCCAATATGTTTGCGTTGTCTGTACGTGCGTGTCGATGAATTGCCGTTTTGATACTCTGGCGGGAAGTGAGCCCCCAGCAATCCGACGAAGGCCAATATCAGTGAGCAATTCCAACTCGACTCTGCTTTTTATAAAATAATGCATCCTTACATATTCCTGGTGACGAGAAGTAATGTGCCGAATCGAACTTATATATGTGCATGGCAGTGTCACGCAATAGTTTCATCCACGCCAGCGAGCAAGAACACTTCGGTTAACAGATGCAAATCATAAAAATAACACGTGGTTTCGCAAACAAATACTCACAAAACTGTTTGCTTGCGTCTTGTCATTGGTGGAAATACTTGCACGTGATAGTGGCATATAATCGTTCATGCACTCGTATGGATACGCAACCTATCAGGTTAACAGGTCAGTCTTACTTGTACAATATCGACACTTCACTGTCAGTATATGAAAGTGGTATTTATGATGTAATTAACGAATGGAAGGCTATGAGTTGATACCTCAAGAATACTGACTAAAACAAGAAAAAGGACAAATTCATGTCGTCTTGGCAAGAGAAAAATAGAAAATGTTTGATAGGTGGTGATCAGCCAAGAAGCTTTGTCAAGATTAGGATAACCTCAGACGGAGACCTTTTTCAGAGTCTTTTGTTATCAGATACTTTGACTTTATCTGAAAAGTCTTCTGCTTCCGACTGTGCTCTTAATTACGGATTAGAGTCCGGTCATATTCAATTTGCACTCTAAGATACCGATTTATTATCAGACTTAATTTCAGGACCTGTGAATATATGTGCTGTGAATTCTTTGTCAATTGAGGGTGCTTATTTATTGTGAATCACTTGTGAATGATCCTGTTTACAGTTTAAGCGAACATATAAATTCATAGAACATGCCAGTTTACAACCTTTCAATGATTTCTACCACAGCATTGTACTCTTGCTAGTCATAAAATTACAGTTAGACCATGCCTGCAAATACTGACTTTTGTAGGATTGACAAAAACCTCCAAAACAGTGTGTTGCCTAGCTTAAGTTAATGATCTCCTCGCCATCTGTCTATATGTCAGAATAGGCTGATCTCCTCGCCATCTGTCTATATGTCAGAATAGGCTGATCTCCTCGCCATCTGTCTATATGTCAGAATAGGCTGATCTCCTCGCCATCTGTCTATATGTCAGAATAGGCTGATCTCCTCGCCATCTGTCTATATGTCAGAATAGGCTGATCTCCTCGCCATCTGTCTATATGTCAGAATAGGCTGATCTCCTCGCCATCTGTCTATATGTCAGAATAGGCTATGTAGCTCAATTATGTTCTTATGGCACAGTCTAATACTAAATAGATCATAATACTCAACAAACAGAGATCAAGTTAGATAATTCAGCACAATGTAATGTCAATACACACATGCGTTGTGCAGAAATCGATTAAAATGTTCAAGAATAAAATCGAATGTACAAATCACACAATTAGTACGTTTTCTTCATACAAAGTGCACAAGTGAATGTAATTTACGTGGAATCTATCATGCAATGTATGGTGGCATTAATTCTGGTACAAATGTCATCTACAAAGTATATGTACTCATTAGTCTCTGTGGTCTTTAAATGCATCTAATTTCTGTAGCTGCCTCCTATTTTGTATAAGAGTGTCTGCGCCTCCCTATAGCCTAAGAAACATAGCTGCTTTTAAAGCAGTATGTGGAAGTCTTTGGGGATAGTAATTAGTCTTAACCATTTTATCAATAAAAGCGAAACTTGAAGGGCATACTCAAAATAAATTGCGTTGTGTTAGGAAAGGAACGGTCATGTTCCAAATATCTTCTAATCCGAAAAACAACCCATAAAACTCAGAGTTTCTATTTTCTATGCAGATTTCTCCGTGTATGTTTTAGCTCTGTAAGATATGTGATGCAGTTGATATGTTACTATTAGCTTACATTTGCAACAGAGTGATTTGGAGTCTGTGCACATATGTATCTTAAGCAGCTTTATATGAAAGACCATAAAAAGTAGCATGTTGCGGCTAATCGAGAAAATGCTTATTCTGAATTTGTTGGAAAAGGCTTTCTGTGATGTGAAGAAAAAACAAATCAATATTGCAAGTTTCATGACCGGAAACAACATTGGACAAGAATGAATCATATACGAGTAATACTGTTGCATTTGTAACTGCATGAAATGTCTTTTTTCTATCCATGATAGATTACTGTCTTGCGTGTTCCCATATCGTTACAGATTTTATTTTATTTTTTAATTTTAGTTGCAACTTTTTAACAATTAATTACGTGCCCTATATAAGTTTGGTTTCTTAACGATCAGTCAGTGTTATACGTCTTTCTCTTTTTCCACACTGCAGGACAAAATTTATTCTGTCTTCAAATTTGACTAATTGTGCAATATTTATGTCAAAATTGTACAAGTTGATCTAACAATGCTAAACGCATTTCTGAATCAGGGTGAAAAGTTGTGATAACTGTTACCGTCATACAGCTGAAACGAAACTGGAATGTTCAAGTAGTTACAATAACTAGTGACAGAGCAGGAGTGACGTAACATATCCTGGTGACTCTGAGCAACGCCCATTTGGTAGTTTCATGCAAGCCGGTTGACTCGAACTTTTCTGGAAGCACTCAGCACTCGTTCTCCGTCACACATCTAGTTTAAGAAATGATAACACAGAAAATGATACATGAAATTCCTACATAGTCACTTTCAAAGGCTAATTCCTCAGAAATTTGAGTTCCAATCAGCCGAAAACAATTATGGAATGAAATTTTCTGAATTTTCGCAGTATTTTGGGGCACAGGTGTGGGTGGAGAAAGTATCCGGCTTTCAAAATTAAACTTGCTCTCATTTTGTAAAAACAAAGAAACAAAATATACTGTCCATTATATAAGCTGAAACACAAATATATTGATGTAAAAAAATAAGCTAAAACATCCGCTTCGAAATAAAATTCCAAACCCCTTCTTTGGAACCTAAAATGTTCCCTACAATGATGGCAGCTGATTGCTGAGAGCTTTTAGGCTGATGCCTTCAGACTTTATACCTTACTCAAACTTTAGTGATATTTACCGGCTATTTGCCTCAGCCGTTGCTGATACATGGCTTGAATAAAAGTGTACAGTAATGTTATTAATATTGTATAAAAACTAGTAGAGCTTCATCAACAGAATATGCATTTAGGGTTTATGTTTGATATCATTTCATACTGAAAACTGAATGATAGTTATAACGTCTTGGAAACGCTACAATATTTCCGCGATCAAAAGACACTTTTAACCGTGAACTCAAAACAAGACAAAAGACAGGACTATCCTCATTAGACAATGACGAGGGAGACAGTAAGGCAAATTGTTCTCGCTGTGTAGAACTTTCCGTACTAAGTTGTGGAAGGAAATGTGAGCCTTAACAAAGTGACTTACGCCCTGGACAAGGAAAACACGACGATAGAGGCAGATATTATATTTTACAGTACTGTTATTTAAGTGGGCAATGACTGACCGAATGTAAGACTAGCATCTTCCATGGTTAAAATCTTGGAGTGTCCTGATAAGCAAACTCGCGTAATCATAGCATCCCTCAAAGAAGAATGATGAGCATTCCTCAAGTTGTTTATATCCAAGGAGTCAGATAATAATCATGTTCCTTTCGATTCGGGCCCTAGAATTATTAATGTCAATGATGAATTGAGAAAAAGAAAACAATGTAATGATAACAGGTATTATATTATTGCTACTGAACTTAATTTTTAAGAATCTTGGATAACTTTAGCTGTTATAAAACAGACTTTTGATATCAATTATACCTTTAATTTGGAATGAAGGTTTATCAGACTGTAGTAAAGTAAGGAAACCAAAACGAGAAATAATGTACGAAATGGTTTATATAGGATTTCTTCTTACAATAACATTTAATGGTAGCCACATCTGAAGGTTAATTGGTATCATCTTGTAAAACGTTTGAAGGTTTTCGTGACATGATTTCTCACTAAATTTATCGAATCCTGTTCATGAGTTTCGGAGATTAAGTAAATTAATATTTTTATATTTTTAGCAACGGTGGCAATATCTGAAGGCAGGTCATTATCATTTACATCAATTTGAATGGACTTTATACCAGGTTGCTCTCTGCCAATTAGTGTGTATGTGTGTGTGTGTATGAAATTAGCCCGGTCAATTTTGAGAGTTAAGCTATTGTTGACATACGATATTCTGGCTTTGCTAATTTTTGGTAATAGTATTTCAACAATGCTTGGAAAAGTTATACAAACGTTTAAAGATCCTCCTACCATGATCGTGTTAAATTTGATCAAAAAGTTAATTAGGCCATACTTGATTAGAAATTAGTATAATTTGCATAAGTTGAAAGCCTTCGTGTAGGGGATGCTCTATGCCAAATTTTGTCCGACTGTGTGTGATTTTGATTTTTACCGTAGCTTTACAACTTTTTTAGTCATATTACTTTGATGTCTGAAGTGTGGCAGTTTATAGTGATGTCTAGCACAGGAGCATCATGCCACAGACATGTAGCATGATGTCCCACCCAGTCACATTAGCCTGACACCCGGCCAACCAGTTCTAACACTAACCTCTTAATTCTAAGCGCCTCGCGAGGCAGCTGTAGGCACCATTTTTGAAAGTCGTTGGCATGACTCGGCCAGGGTTCGAACCCGTGACCTCCAACATCCGAGGCAGACGCTCTAAACACTAGGGCACAATTTTATCAGAGAATGGTCCAGTGGTTTCTGAGAAATCATATAATTGTTGCCATAGGAGAGACATAGGCCAGTGTTCGAACCCGCTACTTCCCGCATCCGAGGCGGACGCTCTGACCACTAAGCCACAATTTTGGCCAGAGAATGGTCAAGTGGTTTCTGAAAAAACAATTGCTGCCATACGATAGACATGTTTTGCTGTGTTTCTTTACGGTAGCCATATTGTAAGGAAAAATTGATATAAATTTTAAAGTTATTCCTGCCATGACGATGTATGTTAAATTTGATAAAATTCCGCCTAGCATTTTTTCAGAGAAATCATCTCAATTTATACATTTTTAGTAAAGGAAGCCGTATTTAAATAGTATCATTCCATTCTATGGTCAGTAGCTTCTGAGCAGTATAATACAACCATTTTTTTGACGTACGCTGAGTCGTACCACAAGCTAGTTTGGTCTTACAAGCAGGAGAGTTGAAACTGTCTTACTAATAATGTAAATAACATCATTGAGCACAGAATTTCTACACTATTTGCCAAAGATTACTTTATTTATTTAACTCCTTTTTTCATTACTTGGCTTTATACTAACTCCACCAACGTAATGCATTCCCAACTTTTCATAAATATAAGAGAACACGATGCTTTACATGTTAATCAATGCATGTATACTATACCAACTTGAAAAATCGATCTGAAATTGCATGGTCAGCATTTTTAATCTGCCTCCAATTATTGCACGTAAAAGGGATTGTTTCCAATCTTGAAGATAATTTAACTGTACAAGTATTTGCCAATTCAATTCTGAATCATTTAAATGATCAGTCAGTTCTAGGCTCTTGCAGGCATCAAGATTCCAATCAACCGGATCAAAGTATGTATGTATGTATGTATGTATGTATGTATGTATGTATGTATGTATGTATGTATGTATGTATGTATGTATGTATGTATGTATGTATGTATGTATGTATGTATGTATGTATGTATGTATGTATGTATGTATGTATGTATGTATGTATGTATGTATGTATGTATGTATGTATGTATGTATGTATGTATGTATGTATGTATGTATGTATGTATGTATGTATGTATGCATGCATGCATGCATGCATGCATGCATGTATGTATGTATGTATGTATGTATGTATGTATGTATGTGTGTATGTGTGTGTGTATGTATGTGTGTATGTATGTATGTATGTATGTATGTATGTATGTATGTATGTATGTATGTATGTATGTATGTATGTATGTATGTGTGTGTGTGCGTGCGTATGTACGTACGTACGTACGCACGCATGGATGTATGTATATATGTATGTATGCATGCATGCATGCATGCATGGATGGATGGATGGATGGATGGATGGATGGATGGATGGATGGATGGATGGATGGATGGATGGATGATTTAATAGCACTTCAGCACAATGACAATCACGCTGTTTAAAAGTTTAAATAAATCATGTATACAATCTGCATCCCTGTAAATCTTCCAAGTACTTACCATAATATTATCCAATTTACCTGTCTGAGAGTTTGGGCATTTGACATGACAGTATTCATTTAATGAATGAATTTGCTTGCTATAGTGAACAAAACGCAAGGCCTGTTTACCACAAACTGGAAGAGTCTGTCCTGGTTGGGTATGCTGACCAAAAAGTAAGGCCTCTTTACAGAAAAAATCTCCTAGAGCCTGTGCTGTTTGGCTATACCTAAAGTATTTTGATGTGGACTGCTAAAAAAGACTATATGAGTTTGTATCACATGAGAAAATCTTGGAAATTTTAAAGACATAAAATGTGCTAACTTGATGAATTCTTTTACATACATTTAACAGAATTTTTGTAATGTTTTATATTTTATTTTGTTATGCTTATTTATATATTTATTGGGAATTTCTTAATGCATGTGCAATATTTTTGGAAAAGAACATTTTGTTGGCACTGAAAAGACACTTTTGTGCTTAATTGTGGAAAATGCTACACAGATACAAACATTCATACATACTTTACCACAAACTCTGTAAAATCCTATGCTGCTTGGCTAAACTGAACATTGCACAAGGCATGTTTACTACACTTTTGAGTCCCATTAAAATACTTAAATCAAGACTATGTTCTACGCTTCATTCACTTATTTTAATTCTAATTCCTTAATTCCAGTATGTTTCTCTCAAAAATTCTATATTTCAGAACAATGAGCATGCCATAAACTAACTTGGCCTTAAAAATAAGCTCTGCAATTGTTAATTTTTAAATGATGATGGGCACACAAAGGTTGATGGTTGTATATACTATACCATTGGGGCTCCGAGTTGCTGAGTGGTCTAAAGTACGGATCACTGCCATGTCACCTCTGCGTGGGTTCGAGTTTTAGATTTGGCCAATGTGGATATGTGAGAAAGCTTGCCAGTATTTTCTCATGGGTCGGTGGTTCTTTTAGGGGATTTCCCAGATTCTTCCTCCACTAATAAAACTGGCTGCCATGTATAGCCTATCTTTTGCTGAAAAATGGCTTTAAACCCTACAACAACAAATACTTCTATACCATGAATGAGATCACATCCTTATGAATTAAAAAATAACAAAATCAAAGAAAACAATTAAGACGAAAAGCTTTTTTCAGAATGGTTAAAATATTATTTGTTCTAATTTTTGTTAGTCATCAATTCAAACAAAGCTGCTAAATTCTGGCATTCACTGTCTTTTGTACATGTATTGTCTTCTAATAATATAGGCCATGACAAAACTGCAAAAGGTAAGTTTGCAAACTCTGTATTGTATATGTAAAAAAAAAAATCTACATAAACTGAATTTAACTTCTTCGTAAAAAATTTACAATTTTAAGCAAAAGAAAGAGAGCATTTCATTGCACCAAGTTCTGACTTTCATCAAGTTTCTGTTAGCAGTCATATTTAGTTTATTAAACATAAATGCCACAGAAAGTAGGAGGGATCTCATATGAGAAAACTGGTAATTAGTTATAAAAAACAACATAGATTCTAATTAAAACCTTGGATTTTTGTCCAAAACAAGTTTTCAGGATGCTATACTGCACTAACATATTAGCAGCCTGCATAAAAAAGTTGACATAGGAATAGATAATTTAATTAGATAATTTAAGGCATCTTTAACAGCATAAGATCACTCTCAATTTGGGATATCCTGTAAAAATCATGCACAATAAATAAGGCAATTCAATTTTAGTCGAGCTTACAAGTTTTGTAGCTAGAAAGTAAAAAATTAAAAACTAAAATTAATCTAACATCTACAGATGGCCATGCATAAGGATGCCAAAGTTACTGCCATGCCCAGTTTTGTCAAGACAGAATCAAAAAAAGAAGAGAATGCACATGTATGAATATAAGATCAATAGGGATGATGAGGAATTTGAGAATAATGAACCAGTAAAATTGGTCCTTCTTATATCATATTCCTTACAAGATTTGTTAAAGTACAAATATATACATATAGTAGTAACATACTAAAGATTTGTTTTACCTCTGGCAAATTTCTTACTTCTGACCGCACATATGATGCACCAAACAAGATAACAGACAGTCCAGTCAATAAAATATACTGCAATCATTAACTAATTGCAAAAGAAATCATATTTCATTCTTAAAGTGGTTCATAACCACTTGAAACTAAATATATGTAATTTCAAGATTTCTGGAAAGGGATCACTGTAAAATCTACTTATTCAGGGTAGAAACTATTTTTACTGTAATATTTACCTGATATTACTGTTTTTTTTACTGTAATATTTACCTGATATTACTGTTATTTTTATTGTAATATTTACCTCATATTACTGTTATTTTTACTGTAATATTTACCTCATAATACTGTTATTTTTACTGTAATATTTATCTCATATTACTGTTTTTTTTACTGTACTATTTACCTCATATTACTGTTATTTTTACTGTATTGTTTATCTCTTATTACTGTTATTTTTACTGTAATATTTATCTCCTATTATTACCATGCCATGCCATCTCATTCGCTTGTGCTAGTCCATAGAATGCGGCAAAAATTTCCTCCTTCAATTATTAAATATATCTCCTCCAATTAATACATGGATATCTCAAAATTAAAAGACTGTTTAAGGTACAATCTCTACTGGGCAAAAAAGTTTCCAAGAATGAAAGTTTTCCTTATAATCATTGAGTGTTCAAGCTATCTCTGATATTCTTTAGTGAAAAGATTTTCAAATTAGCCACTGTGATATGCATATTGCACGTAAGACTGGCACCATTTTCATTTCGGACAAAATTGACATCATTATAAGTCTTTTGGTGAACCCATGTCATAATGACCAAACATTCTCAGGAGTAGTGACAATAAGATTCTTAACATGGTTTTCATGGCAGCCATATTGGATGTATGACTGGCATCATTTTGATTTATAACCAAATAAGTATCTTAATAAGTATATTGGTGAAAACCCCATGTTGATATGGCCATCCATTCGATGAGGAGTAGAAAGAACCCATGTGGCTGACCACCATTTAGAGAGAAATTTACAGCCACGAGGCAGAGAAGATATGTTTCATCCAGGAGAGGCAGCAATAAAAAGATTTTCACAATGGCTGCTGTGACAGCCATATTTGACATCATATAAGAATAATTTTCATTTAAGACCTGCTGGAAAACAATAATTCTACTTGTAAAAAGTCCACATCAATATAACATTTTGTTCAAGTACGACCAACAGACTAAAAACAACTTTTAAAAACAACATCAATGCCTTAGTCATTTCTGTGATGACTGTATCTGATGGTAGATTTGGTGTCATTTCTGTAATGTGGAAAGTCTTCAACATGTTCAAGCAAGTAACTTTTCTTCAAAAAAATCTGTTAAACAGTTTTATTAAGGGTATATAACAGTAGCTATATTTTCTAGCTAATAGGCATCACTTTCATAAGTTTATGGGCACTTTATGTCATAGTGCTTTCTATCAATTTTGGTCAAATTCTACTGAGATGCCTGTGAGAATTTTTTTTATGGCATATGTCAAGATATAAAAGCCATTAGTCCAAAATATTTTATAATCAAAGTGTGAAGTTTGTCCCTATCTTTAGTAAAACTGGCCATAGTTGATGTCAGTTTTGATTGAAACTATAATG